TAGTGTCTGTTTTGGCCCAAAATGTTTGGCAATGGTTTGACAGGAGTTGTGTTGAGCGCTGGGAAGGGCTCACGAATGGCTGAACTGACCGCCAATTGGCCCAAAGGTCTGCTTCCCGTCGCCAACAAACCACTCATCTATTATCCATTGGAAGCGCTCATCAAAGCCGGCTTTCAAGGCATGTCTTCACCACATATTGTCTCATATCATGTGATTTATGTCTTAACGTATTGTCTATTCATATATCAGATGTGATTGTTGTCGTGTCGGACACCGAAGAAGACCTGATGAACAAAGCGCTCAACGAATTGAAACTCGATATCCGAATCGATTTGGTGTCCATTCCTTACAATCGCGACTTCGGAACCGCTGATAGTCTTCGGCTCATCAAAGATAAGATCAAAGTATAGTTGAGTTTAAATGATGTTTTGTCACCACTTAACGATTGGATTTGATTTCTCTTTGGCTGAAGAACGACGTCCTTGTGTTGAGTTGTGACACAATCACTGACTTTCCCCTTAAGAGACTCATCGACTTCTATCGGATCCATAATCCGACTCTTTTGGCACTGATTTCGTCGATTCCGTATAACAACGAAAACTCAATTCCCGGCCGAAAAGGTCGCGAAAAGATTGGTATGAAGTGATGATCGGATCAATGCGTGAATCCATTGATGAGATAATTACTTTTGAGCTAATGATTTGGTATTTGAAATGATTAGAGAAAGATTTGATTGGAATCGACGCCCAAAATGGCGATCGACTCGTCTTCATGAGCTCTGAAGCAGATTTTGACGAAAGTGTTTCGTTCAGCGTTTCGATGCTTAAGAAGTAAGTATCAAATAGAGTGACAACAAAAACATATGATATGAATTGGTCGTTGGTTTAATAGATGTCCGCAAATGACTATCAAAAGCAATTTACTGGACGCTCACATATATCTTCTCAAGAAGTGGACACTTCGCTACTTAGAGGAGAATACGTGAGTTATTTGTGGCAAAATTTGTGGTCTCTTTGAATAACAGAATAATTGTTTGAATCTCTAGTCAGATATCTTCACTTAAGGGCGAGTTTTTGCCATCACTTGTGAGGAAACAATTTCGAAGAGAAGTGAAAACAACGTTAAACAAGACGAACACCAATCCGTCGTCTATCATATCGATGTCAGCCCTTCCGCACCGACAGATATTTGACTTCATTGAGACCAATGATATAGAGTTAGGCCTCCGACGACTGGAGCCCAATATGGCCAGCGATGACCTCAACGCGGAGTCACTGATACACCAAATGCCTAATAGTTATCCCGAAAGCAAAATCACATGTTTTGCCTATCGATTAGATGAGGGCTATTGTGTTCGGGCGAACACAGTGTCCGGTTATTGTGAGGCCAATCGCATACAATTGAGACAAATGAACGCTTCCGACCGCAAGACAGTTAAACACCAAAACTCTATCAAATCACAGGTCGACGCCATCACCGGTAACGTGAAGGCGATCGGCGAGAAGTGTTTAATCAAACG